GGAATATTACAAGCTTTATATTTCATATCCTTGTCATGTTCCATCTTTTTCATTACATTTTGCCAAGAACTAAAAACATCAAGACAAAAAGGATTGTTCTTTGTCATTAAAACATTAGAGATATACTCGTCTCCAAAGTCTAAAAATTGTTTTATAACATCATTTCCATTAACTGCCAAAAATATATCTAACCATGGTTTATTTCCTGTATTCAACAGTCTTTGGACCCAAGTGCATTTTAGAGATTTTATGAAGTTAAAAATATTTACCATTTTTAAACCTCCAGATAGATTATCTTGAGTAACTATATTTCTCTTAACCTTATCACATTTTGATTTCCATACAAATTCAAAGATATCTTTATTTAATGAGGAAATTTTGTCGCTGCTAGGTGTAGGAAGAGAAATAAATAAATGATTCTGTTTTGGTAAAATTAAAGTTTTTACAACAGTGACTCGACCAATAGGTGTTAATATTCGTCGATTCTACTGTTGATCAAAGATTTTATTTTGGGTAGAATAATATTATAATTTGTGTCAGTAATAGTTTCTAAGTCTACAGAAAAATTAATACTCAGCAATGAGAAAGTTGTTGACCCCCAATCTAACTTCCATCTTGGATGGTGAAAAACTTGATTTGAAATTTTTTTTCGAGCCAATCCAAATAATTTTTGTTTTATTACTATTCATTTTTAACCCAGACAACCGTGAAAAAAAATCCAAGGTATCAAGAGCAGCAAAAAGTGATTTTGGTGAACCATCGAGAGCAAGCGAAGTGTCATCAGCATATTGGGAAATTTTGTGTTCTTTCTCCTGAATAATAATGCCCTTTATGTCTTTATTTTGTTTCACAAGAATAGCAAGAATTTCAGCACAGGGGAGAAATAAATAAGGTGCAACGGGATCTCCCTGTCTATAGCCTCTCTGAATATGGATTTGTTCAGATAAATGTCCACATTGTAGAACAGATGCTGTAAAATTTGTATTTAAAATTTTGATCCAATCAATAAATTTATTCCCAAAACCGTGATGGAACGATAGAACATAGCAACAGTGCTTGACGACGGGAGACATTCTAAAATGTTGAGTTTACATGTATGCGCGCAGGGTTCATTATTATATGTACATCTATTTGTTTTAAACATGCAGTATGATATAATAAATATTGCATGTCGTTTAGGGTAACATCAAGACTTTACACGCGTGTCAAACGAGGCACTGGCCGAGCTTGAGAATGGTTTACGAGGGGTTAACATACAGTATTTTTAAAGTGACTCTCTACAGCATTTGGTCTTCTTTCTTTTTTTTTCGAATCGGGGTTTTAATTGGGCATAACTAAACCTTTAATGACGTCAACAAAATGAACATTTTATTTACGAAGTGATAATGTCATGTACATCTTTACACATGTTTGTCCCTCTTTCCAGTAGAAACTACCCCATTTTTGGATAGATCTTCATTTTTCACACAACGGCAAACAGATTTAATTAACATTTGTTAAATGATAATATTACCTCCAATGTGTTTATCGGATGGTTTTTATTATCGACCACACTGATAAAACCAACCAGTTTTGTTTTTCTACCTCTTCTCCAATTACATGAAGATAGGAAACACATCACTTCAGATATAAAAATCATATCTTATCATAAACCATTTCAGATATAGGCATGTACAATTCAACGAATATATACATGTATTGTCATTAAAATCAAAAATTTGTTCCTAAAATAATAAAATTTAATAAATGTAAATACACAAACAAGCAAAACATTAATGTAACAGGAGTATCGAAATGTATGTCACATGTAACTAATTGTAATTCATTTTAATTGACAGATGGGTTAGGGTTATGTGTGAGTAGCATGTCTCGGTTTAAAAATTGATCGTACTTAGATCATGCTTTTCAGTAGCGAATAAGTCGGTAGACATAAACACCATATGCAGGTGATAGCGGAATATTACTACATGAATAAAGAAAGTTGATAATGAAAACGATGAAGTCACAAATTGGTTGTTTGTCGGCCTTTGTCGTCTGTAGTCAGTAAAACATCCAAATATAAAGCAGATGTGGAAGACTATGCATTGTCTTATATTTCAAGTTCATTAGGATAAATGGAGTCGACATATAAATGGAGATAACTATAAGTGTTAATTAATATAACTGAATGTCGAGTTGAAGGCCACGGCAAGTGTTTTCTTCTTCTCATGAAAAGTGTTTTGATAAATTCTGCTTCATACGAATATAAAAACAGATCGGCTAAAAAAGAGTGAATGTGCTTCATTTTTACATATCACTTTTGTGTGATGCAAGATGAGCTTTAAAGGAACAAAAGTAACCAATCCTATATTTTCACCAAAATGGCTAGTAAATCTGTCATTTGTTATTTGATATGTTTATAATTTTATTTGGAAACGAACTTTCTATAATTTTCTGCTCACAATTTATTGCTATAAAACGAAAGCACATTCTAGTAATTCTGTCAGACTGAAAAAAATTATCTCTACCGTTAAACCCTATCTTGATTTGTTTTCAGAAATAATATATTGTGGAACAAACTTTTAAAACAATCTTTAGAATATCAATCATCATTAGGATAAATCTGGACTCTCTCCCGTTTTATTAAACAATCTCTAATTACTGACTTTACAAAATTAGCTTCAATTGGAAAAAGAAAATAAAACGGACAAACACCAATAATTATCAAACGAAGTTCAGCTAAATTCCTTAATCTTTTAAAATGACGTTCTCTAAAATTACAAATTCCATGAAAGATGCTCTAAGTATTTTTTTTTTTCAACGCAGTTTTTAAGATTGAGAATGTCTTTCAAAAATACTATTAGAATATATTTTCACACCATATTAAAACTTTACCTGTCTGGTGGCTGCATTGTGGATTGAAATGACTTTGCTTGGTATCGCGTGAGACGGGGAAGAAGGAAGATATCTCTAGACTTTTTTCAAGATTACAGAAAAAGAAAGTAGGCTTCAAAAAGATAAAAGTGTTTTTGGAAATTGTATTGGAATTTTTATCATTACAAAGGCGGATACTAGTATATATAAATACATGACATCAAGTTAAGATATGAAACATCTATCCATTGAGTGGTACTCATTGGATAAAGGAGTTGTAAACATGATAAAATGTGTAATCACTACTTTTACAGGAGTTGTTATGTAATTTTTTTGTAATCTACAGATAAAATTTTAATTCTGACAAAATACAATGCAGATACTGTCGATAGTGGTGTGTAAATAACACGTTATCATGAACACAATGTATATATATAATGAACACATTGGCACTCAATATAAAGAGAACATATGAACTGTAATTTCAAAGTTCGTATGTTTATGACGTCATGATTAATATCAGATAATTTATCCCACAGATAAAACAGAGTGACAATTTGCAAACAAACAAAAGTTAAGAAAAAAATCCTAGACTTTCTCACGATACAGATGAAAACAGATGAAAATATGTTTGACAGTGCCACCGTTGGGGGGAGCGAACTTGTGTACATGTATTTGTTATCATCAAACACCTTGTTATACACTTTGTTATACACTTTTAACTTAGATTCACTATTAATCAAGCCGCAAGAGGCATTTGGAATTTTGAAGGTCCCACGTACTCAGTCAAGACTCCGTCACATCTAATTTGTTTGCTACTTGCTTTTCCATACTACATAAAAATGGGTGGGTAGTCTACCATCTATCTGCAATTTCCATTAAAGCAAGGCAAGGCAACTTTCACCTTTATTTGTGACTTCTAATATGTATAATTAATTTTGTCTAACTATCACAAGAACATACTTCGGGAAACCAAAAATGATTAAATGATATTTAATTTGAAATCCCTTTCTTTTAATCTTTTATCTTTTAAACAATCTTTTATTCTAAAATTCTTTTTTTAAAAAAAAGGGATTCTTTAATTATCAATTTTTTGCTACTTAATTAAACTATACCTGGTTGGTTCAATTTGAAATTTGAAATTTCTTTCGCTTTTTAATCTTAAAAAAATCTTTAAACAATCTTTTATTTTAAAATTCTAAAAATATATACTTTGATTTATTAATTATTGTTACTTAAATTTACTATGATTACCTTTTTAGTGGTTGTATATTAGATTGATAAGATTTTGTTGTGGCGTCCAATAAGGAAGATGCTCAAAAGTTTTTTTTAAAGATAATAGAAATAGGAAGTAAATTCTAAACAAGCTATAGTGCAGCATATTGAATTGGTGTTCAGGATCGATGATGTAATTTTTTTTTCAAAAATCAACTAAAATCATTCTTCTATAAGTATAATGAATAAGTTTTACTAAATAGATTTAAACTTTTCATTCAAAGTTTCTCAATTATGTCCTATATAGCAATAAAAAAAAGTAATAAACATTTGTTAAATTTATATGGGTGATTTCAGAAAGATAGAATATTAAACATCATAGACAGTTTTAAGTTTACAATTCTTAAAAATAAATTTTGCATCATTTATCATTTAAGACCAAAGTTAGCCCAAAGACATTATTAGATTTGAGCACGTACCAACTTCATGTCATATCCAAATGAAAACCTAAAAAAAATGGGGGTTTTTTGTTTTTTTTAAAAGAAAATTATATATTTTACGAAGAAAAATTGCACCATTTAGACTCCGTTATGGAAATGCAACAGTCTAAAACCTTCCAGATGCTTTCCATACATATCAAGAAAGTCTGATCTTGTGACCTACTTCAAGTCCGCCAAAACTGAAAGCCAATAGATAGTCATATAATGGAAGACATTTGCAAATGCAAATATATATATATATATATATATATATATATATATATATATATATATATATATATATATATATATATATATATATATATATATATATATAAATGGGAAATGGTATTCATTTCCTCGGGAAAATTTGAAACTTGCAATTCTTCACATCTTAAAAATTAATTTCACCATTAATAAAGCATAACAAATCACAGCTTTTGACACGTATAGAAAACCGCACTATTGTTTGATCTCGGACCTGGTATCAGCCTGAGCGGTTGGTATCGGCCCGAGCCTGGAGGTCTGAGGGCGCGGGCCGATACCATCCGAGATCTGATACCATCCGAGATCTGATACGAGGGACAAGATCAAAACAGAAGAGTGATTTTGTTTATATCATATATCTAAAAGCAAAAAATTAATGAAAAACCAAAATGCAATATATATATATATATATATATATATATATATATATATATATATATATATATATATATATATATATATATATATATATATATATATATATATATATATATATATATATATATATATATATATATATATATATATATATATGAGGGTTGTCCCAAAATTCCGTAAACTGATCCCATATTTTTTACAAGAATGAACGTATCGTTGTAACATTTTCTTGGTGGATGAAGTATGTTATTGGTTAAATTACGAACATGATTGTTTGAAAACAATTCGAGTAATTAAAATTTTAGTATTTCCATTCCTTAACACCCGGAGCAGTCTCTGACGTCAAGAAAGATACACTTAACGTTTCCAATTTTGATTGGGGTGGATACACTTCTTACAATAAACAAATTCTTTACTTCAACATTATGATTATAGAAATAAATGACAAATATCTTAATTGCTATGATATAAATTAAGATTAGAAAACACAAACAAAGTATGTACATGCATATGTATCCAGTAATAATGGTTTTAAAAGCCCTACGTCTCTGAGGGTTTTTCCTCTCTGTCTTTGCAAATGGAGTTGCAAAAATGTCACTTTGACAAAAATTTCTTACCCATCTCTTCGGCTTGTTTCTTATTTAGTTTCGCTTTTTCACATACTTATAATACTTATAATAAGGACCGGAATACATTTCATTACGTACCAGACATTTATTACTTCTGCGTTTCTGTAGGAGTGAATCCAAGTTAGAGCATTTGATCACAATCAAGTGCGCCGCCGTTTTCATCGCAACCGCCATTTTTCGACAAGTCAGATTTCAAACCAGTGCATATAAAACGTTATAAAATTCATATTACCGGGGTAAACAAGTCATATGCCACAAAATTGGAGGAGGGGTAGTTATCAATGGAATATCAATAATTTTTATTTCTATTTTCAAAATTCTATGTATTAAATACCTTTTCGTAAAATTTTAAATATCATATATCGATTTTTAATTGCAATTTATGGGTACATGTACTGCGCCGCCTTCCTACACCAGACACTGAAATATTGTATTTTGGGACAACCCTCGTATACTAGTAGTAGTAAATAACGTAATTTGTTTCAGCAATAGATTCTGCTGAAGACGTATATACCTTGTTTTTGTCTATCAATTGAGAAAGTTGCGTTAATATATAAACTTAAGGTCAGGATTGTAAACTTTTAATAACATCAACACATTCATAGACGTTGCCTTTATGTATACATTTAAAAGGGAAAAAAAAAGATAAAAACTTCTAGTCCTTTGATGAGATATTGTCTAAACCAAGCCTCATGAATCAAGTTTTTTTCTTACACTGATATTTTCTTGTGGGATATATGTCCATTAGTGAAGTTAAAGATTTTTTAAGTTTTAAGTTACTATTATTTTCAATAAATGAACAACTAGCCCCACCCTTAGTCCTTAATAAGGTTGCCATAAATTTCATATTTTTTGTAGAGGACTTAGTGTAATTATACTCATGTAACCACTTTAACACTTTGACCGCTAGTGCCAATAAGTCAAGAGGAATTAAGATTTTCGCAGAGGTAATGATTTTTTCTATATACCATCAATTTAGTCTCACCAATGGACCAAGCTTTTCGAAATTTTGGTAGAGGGGTATTTTTAATGGGAACAGTCTTCCTGAAAGAGGTTGATGGGTAGAGACGATTTTCAAAGATATAATTTTTTTTTTAAATATATATGACCCACGATTTAAACATCACCCTATTACCTGAAAAACGGAAACATAGGGTATGATTTTCACAATTTTGATAAAAGGTTGCGTGCTTGTTATACTTGTGCATGGAAACATTTTATATGTTACATAGCTAAGAGTAAAGAGCTAAGATAAAGAAAGTTTATAAGACATTATGAATTATAAGTATATGGCTAACCTAACCCAACATTGCAGCCTGAATTCTGAACCCAGGGACTGTAAATTTCACACCTTTGGAAGAGGGTTCATTGCTTTTTATAATCATGCCAAAAGTTTGACAACTTGATGTCCAGGAATCAAGATTTTATTTCGAAGATTGCGTTTTTATGGTTTTAACTACAATCCCCAGGCCTCAACAACCCTAACAAAAAATAACTACAGTTAACTACAGTTTATTATAGTATCATTTTTTACTATAGTAAATCTAAGTATTTTAATATGGATTTCAGATTGTTATATTTTTGGTTCTTCAATTCATACATGCAGATTTTTTTTATTTTAAATGGAAGTATTGATTGTGTATTCACATATTTTTTTCCCCAAATTTTACATAACAGTTATCAAATTTAAGAGATTTTAAGCTTTGAAAACCCCCAAAAAAGTTCCAGAGTAAAGTTTCATAGTAAATCAAAGGATCGAAGTTTTCATTATAGTTAACTATAGTAAGCTATAGTTGATTATAGTAATTTTTTTAAGGAAAGGCTGAAAATATGAAGTTATTAATATTATTTTTGTACCCCTTAAGCCATCAGTGCTACATACAAAAGCTGGCTGACATGAGTTCAGCTATTCAAACATCTGATTACGCACGGCAAAGGACAGAAACAGCATAAGTTACAAGAGTGACTCAGGTGACTTGAAATATATCAGCCATTTCAAATTTTAGTACGATAATTATATTGAATACGTCTCACCAATGATTCTCATTTACTCACTATGAATTCAATATTGTAACGTATATCATTTAAAATTTATAGGAACGTATTGAAGATTCACTACTGTGGGAGTATTTTGATTGCATCGTGACCTCAAGGGCAATGATTTGAACGAATTTGAATCCACATGACTTAATGTGTGTAAAAACAAAATAAGGAAATATTTATGTTTTTAGCTTCAGTGGTTCTTGAGAAGATTCGTAAATAATCATGTACTATGTTATCCAGGTCCAATCAAGGGTGTACGGGGATTTACCCAGGGTTTCATTCCATATATTGCTTTTTATCATAGAGAAAATATGCATTATGACGTCACGTTTTTTTTTTTACCCCCGGCTCAAGTCGGGTGTACGGAGATTTACACCCGACTTTGTATCCAATCAAAGCTCTTGTTACAAGCTACATAGGAAATAATACTTTTTATTATTTTATTATTTAATTGATAAGGAACTCGTCCTTGTAATGAGATACATATGACTCTTTATTTGCATTCCTGACTCTAAAGTACATGTATTTATTGTGCCAAATATGATTTCAAAAAGCCAAGCTGTATAAGTCTACTGGAGAAGTTCAAATATGAAACCAGTCAACAGACGCAGATAAAAGACGACATACAGACAGATGTCGGATAATCAGAAAAGCTCACCTGAGATTTTGAAAAAAATTTGGAAAAGATTTTTTTCCAAAAAAAACAAAACAACAACAAAAAAAACAAAAGCAATTATGATTATAATTAAATTTTTATATTAAAGGAGTTGTACATGTATTTGCATGTGTGTGTGTAATATTTTCTATATTAGATATTGTATGTTGGGATCCACGCCGACTGACAGTAAGATTTATTCAGATTTTTTTTTTCAGCAAATGATTAATGAGTTAGGGTCACGTGGTCAGCTAGCAGATCAGTTGTATTTTAATACCTTCACGTTGACCACAGTTTACTCTAAGCACGTCAATTACGAAGACCCGCCACCACCTAAGCGACCCTAGCTCTCTTATTTTTATAAAATAATGTATCATGTGGTTTCTTATGTTTACGATGTGGCCCACAGGCATGGGTACGATTACTGAAAAATGTAATCGATTAATAATCGATTACTTAGAGGAATTTTGTGTAATCGATTATTAATCGTTTACATTCATTTTTTTCCTGTAATCGATTGTAATTGATTACTTTGGAAGATGTAATCGATTAATAATCGATTACTCCCAGTTTTTATCCCCTCAAATTAAATTATATAAAATTATATTGTAATGTTAATGATATCCACGAAGTTTGAATGCGTTCCTGCATATTCAGTTCAGATTCTGGTAAGGTTTAATTCTGGTTTCATTTCATATTTTAGACCTAACATTTTCACTAAATGCCCAAATGTGGAATTATCTACCATGGACAGTGGAAACATGGTTCCTGCTATAAAGTATGAGAGGAATAAATTATTACTTTCGACACTGGATCTGAACCTCCATATTTATTGACTTTGGTTGTAGAAGTTATTTAATATTTTATTGCGTTTTGGAGGATTTGAACTGCCCGCGTGTTGACAGTACACATAAAACATTCCTATGTCTTCTCTAAAAAAAAGTTTAGAACTCTTATTAATAAACATGTACATATGTAAATTAAATGTTTCTTTAAGTTAAACTATAATAGCACAATTGCATTCTGTGTTGAAATATTTTAGTGTTTTGAGAGCTATTAATTGTTCTAATAATATTGTTTCTCTTCAATGGAACTATGAATTATAAAAGTTATACAATATGTAGGTCAAAGCTCACACCTCATTATCTGCATGTTAAGGATGTCCCAGACAATTAGCCAAGATAAACATATACAGTAACTCTTATCCCCTGTCTTTAAAAATACAGACACTTGCAACCTTTCACTGACAAAACAAGTAACCTTACAATTTTAAATGACAACATGAGAATGATTCTAAGATTTTAAAGTTACTAAAAAAACATCAAAACAGAAATGGATATTAAGTATTTTCATCTTCTTTTTTCCGAACATAATGTAGTTTATTTACCATATTATTTATATTTAATACAGCACTTTAAATCCGTTTTTGCTATTTAATATATTTTTTATGACAAGACGAAGTTTTTCAACATCAAGAGGACAGTGAGTCAAAGAACTACGCACGGTAACTCCCGATTCCCGCCTACATTTTACAACCATTTAATTCAATATTGATGGCAATTTGGCCATAAAATCTTTGTTTAATACAAAGAACAGTTCAATTG